TGGTCTGTTTCTTGTCTCTTACAGCTTTTAATATTCTGTTCTTGTATTGAATTTCTGGAATTTTTATTATTATATGCCTGGGTGTTGCTCTGTTTGGGTTGTAGGTAGCTGGGGTCCTGTATGCCTCATACATCTGAGTATCTTTACCTTTTGCTAAATTAGGAAAATTCTCCTGGATTATTTCTGTGAGTAGCTTTTGTAGTTCACTTGTTTGCATCCCTACTTCTTCTTTTATGTTCTTAATCCTTAAGTTATGGATCCTCTTATCATCTTCTTGTCTTTGTATTATTGCTGTTTGTTTCTTTGTTATTTTTAAGAAGTTTTTCATTTCATTCTCCCATATTACAAGTCTGCCCTCCAGTTCAGATAGTCTGTCCTTAGTTTCTTTCAAGCTGTTATGCCAGTCTTCGATAGACTTCTTAGTATCTTGGTAGTCCCTTTGAACCTGCTTCACGTATTCTATGCTTTCTCTGTTTTCTCCATCAAACAATTCTCCCCTTTTTTTCTGTTCTTCCATTCCATCACCTGTTTTTTCTTGGGTGGTGCTTAGCATTTCTCTAACTATTCTGCATACTTCTAGCTTCAGGTCGTTGATAACTTCATTCCTGAATTGGTCTATGAGGCTCTCTATATGGTGCCTTATGTGTATTGGTGCGGTGTCTGCTATTGCCTGTTTCTCAGAATTGGGGGCCGAGGAGACTTTCTTGTTGCTGCCTCTTCCCATGCTGCCTCTTCTTCTCTGTTCCTTATATATGCAAGCTTATATAAGAGGCCCAGCTTCTCTCCCAGTCAGCCACAGCCTTATCGAATTGCGCCAGTTAGGTGTTCCTGCTCACCGCTGCGCACCAGGGAGTTACGGACCAGGCAGCCTACGCGTCTCCCCTCCCGGCCACCGTCAGGCTCTGGGATCTGGGTTGGGACAGTCTACCAGGTCCGCCGGCAGCGTCACGCAGGCCAGGCACTTTTCACCAATCCCGCCCGAGAGGGGGATGTGTGGCTGGAGTCGCCACCGCGCCCTGCTCCCGCAGGACTGCTCGGGCCCAGAAAGTCCTCTGCTGGAGTCAAACTGTGGTAGAGTGTCAGTTTCTCTCACTCACCTCACCATAAGTCAGTGCACGCCTCCCTGCCGTTCGCAGATTGCCGTTCTCAGAGCTTCTGCACGTCTCTCCCCTTGCCGAGCCGCTGTAGAGGCAGCCAGCCACTGCGCGGCGGGAAACCCAAATCGCGGCTTACAATGGCGCGGTTCCAGCCTCCACACCGAGTCTTTTCTGTTCCTGTTTTAGCACCAGGACTGCATTCCAAGTTGGCTTCTCTCAGCCCAGTTCGTTCCTGAGTCAGCAGAGCATATCTCCACCTGCTTATGTCTCCTTAGTCCGCACCATTCCTGGCTTCTGAGCCGAGTCTTTCAGAGAGCCGCAGGTAGTTGCTGTTATCTGTCCGCCATGTTCTCCCGGAAGAGTCAAATGGCAACTTAATTGTGTGTACTGAGCAATTGGCTAGATCTTACATCTTTGACATCCTCCATAATATATTAAAAGATCCTAGAATCGCGTCAGCACAGTGACCGTGAGAGGGGGTGCGGATGTTATCTCTGCCACGCAAAATGGTACTACATCCAGATTTGTTGGTGACTCAACTCTGAAGATCCCCACTCGTCTCCTTGAGAGACTTTCTCCTGCTTCTTACAATACTGTGTGTCTTTCCGGTCTGTAAGAGTCCTTCCATGAGGCCTGTAGGCCATAGAAGTCTCAGTAAGCAGTCTAGCCGGGACAGAAATTCTCAGCACTACGTTGTGGTCAGGGCAGCCATGACACCGGAAGTCCCAAATGGAAATATGTTACCAACTCTAAAGACATTTCTATTCTTTACCAGTGAATTTAAATTAGCTGAGAGCCAGCCTGGGGACATGTTCTGGAGAGAAATCATGGCGAGAGAGGCAGTCCTCTTGGAACTGAAGGTTGTGGCCGTCCCTTAACACTTGCAGTTATTAACTCTAAGAGGCCCTCCAAATGTTTTTTGTTCTATCAGTGAACTCATCTTTTGCTGTAAACCAGTCTGCCCTGTGTAGCAGCATTCTTGAGGGGAGAGCGAAGTGAGGAGAGTTAATTTCCAGTTCTGCCTAAGGGCAGGAGGGATGATAAACTTGGGATAAAACTTTTGCGTTTGAAGATTACATCTAGACCAGTTTTTAAAAATATGGCCCAGGGAGAAGTCAGAGTTAACAGTAAAGGCCAGCTTTCTTCTGGAAAGGTTGCGGAGACGGGGGAAATCACCATTTGGGAAGCCTGGTCCTGGAATCCAGCAGCTACAGAAGAGAACTACTGTGGACGGAGCGCTACTTCTATATATTGTATTTCTTAGAGCAGGGGCAGAATAGAAGAGTGACCATCTGCACGGCACACATACCCAATCTTTACCATTCACCTGTTCAAAACCAAACCCTTTCCAAGACTGAGCTCTAGTAATCAAAGAAGCTGAATGACTGTTCCATTTTCTGAGAGAGAGAAAGAGAGAAAAAGGAAATTAAAGAACATATCGAAGCGGTACCTTTAAACTGTATTGTTTTGGTCTCATAAACATGTGTCCTTTTGAAAGTAGCTCATTGTAGTATCACCCAGAGATCATTTATGTCCCACTTGTGTCTCAGGATGAGTCTGTCTTGCCAATCTTAGGAGAAATCTTTACCCAGGCACCAAATCTCCCAAAACCCTCAGGTGTGCCTCCCTGGAAAAGCATGGATTCAAATTCCCATCCAACCGGTGATTGGGAATTATGTAGTCTATAAAGGCATGCCTATCTTCAGTGCCCTTATACATGAGACATCACTTTCTAAGTTTCAGGAGCCTTCAGTTGGAAAGGAAGAGTATACTGATAACATCCCTACAGAGGTGAACGTGCAAAACCTGTCCCATAGCCTCTGGCTGAGTGCAGACACACTGGGCAGGCCATTAGGCAAAAATCATTCCCAGAAGATATCTGTACATAATAAGGGCCAAAGGCATCTTGTAACTACCAAATAAGCCTGAAACACAAATAAAAACCATCATAGCTTAAACCTTTTATCATTTGGACAAAAAAACAAGGTGTACACAACCAACAAAATGCATATGCAACTAGCAAATGAGAGGTGACAAGTTTGATTATCTAGAGAGTCACAGTCCAGAATCCAGCCAAAATATTTAGGGGTGCCAAGAACAAAAGCAAACTCTTACCTCTTTCCAGTTATCTTTATGGGACATCTAAAATGACATAGGAGAAAAGTAACTCCTGACCAATTATATGCCAAATGTGCCAGTCAGGTTCCACAACATCAAGGAGTGAAAGACTGAACCAAAGGAAGAGGTTAGGAGAGTTTTATTTGAAATAAGGGGAGAAAAGCGCCTAGATTTTCAGGATAAGTTGGTGGATAAGGTGATGCTAATTAAAGTATCCCTGAGGGAGTCATGTATCCATGCTCATTCCATCTTCATCTTGAGGCCTGGTTTTCTTCAGATGTACCTTTAATCACAACCCTCGTGTTTTGTTTTGTTTTGTTTTATGTTTTTGTTTTTGTTTGATGCTGACTTCGTTGAGGGCCAAGTTTCTCTCTGACTGTGTGTTAATTTCTAACTTAACTGCCTATAATAACGTGACAGTTCTTAGTAAGGGTATACCCTTTAAAAATAGATTAACAAGAGCAAACAAATGGATGTTTAATGACATACCTCATGCATATATTGAAAGATAGCCCCCAAAATTGAGAAGATTTTTAAGGAGGTAACTTCAAAATTAAGGTGGTCCCTCTAATCTGTGTTTTTGCTTTCTATGGTTTCAGCTACGTAGTCAGCTGTGGTCTTTAAATATTAAATCAAAAATTCTAGAAATAATTCATGACTTCTGAATTAAACATCATCGATAGTACTGCAGTGTGTTTTAACCCAGCTAGGACATGAATCCTCCTTTTGTCCAGCATATCCAGGCTTGCATGGAGCACCTGCTGGTTAGTCACTTAGTTGATTTCTGCAGACTTGTGCTTGTGTTTACATAATCCTCATTTTACTTAATAATGGCTCTAGAGCACAAGAATAGTGATGCTGACAAAGGGAAATCCAAAAGGGCTTCCTTTAAATAAGATGAAACTTCTTAATTTAGTGAGATCTAAAGTGAGAATAATTCTTCTACCTATGAAATTATAAAGAAAAAAATTGGTGCTAATTTTCAAACAGTAAAGTTACATCTGCAATGTGATAAAGAGGATGGAAATGGCATTATATTGTGTATGTGTGCACAGGAAAAACCCAGTGTATGTAGGGTTCTACACTGTGCATAGTTTCAGCCAACCTCTGGAGGTTTTGGAAAGTATCCCTTCAGAGAAGAGATCTACCTACCTTATATTCCTTTATTAACTATTGAAATAAAGACAGAATAGAAAGAAGACTCAATTATAAGGTTACTAGGAAGAGCACAGAATAAAGAGAATAATGTTTGTTCTGCTGATTTAAGTCAACATCTCCATTGATCAGTCTCTTAGGATTTAGTCATCTTTCTTTCTTGATACCAAGAGGGAGATACACTTCCAAGTGAAAATTTCTTTGTAGGTACAAAATTTTTCTACAAAAGGTGACCTCCACATTGTTTTCAGAGTTTCTCCTGTGTTTGCAGTTTCTCAAAATAATGAGCTCAAAATAATCCTTCTGCCAAAGAAGAATATTTTGGGGTGGCATATTCCAGTCTTCTACAGTGCATACAAATGTTTTAAAAATAGAAGACAGTCTAAACTAGAAATTTTCTTTGCATACTTAACAGAAAAATTTGATGACATTTTGCTGTTTGATGTTTATTTTGAGAGCAGAAGAACAGTGTTTGTTCATTTTTGGACTAATTAAATACAGTTTCTTTCACAGATATGTAATAATCTTGGTGCTATTTCATGAATAGTCCAATAATCAATACAATTTGACTAAATATGGAAAAATTGAGTTATATAATTGCATAAAAAGGATATTATCCTGTTTACACAGCATTGGAGAGCATGGAAGGATATTACTACAGAGACAATGTTTCAGTGGAAGAATTTCAAGCCCAGATAAACGCAGCTTCATTGGAAAAGGTCAAACAGTACAACCAGAAGCTCAGGTATGTGATCCTGAGTTTGTTTGTTTGTTTTTAGGTAAGTTTCTGTATTATTAACATGTGAAAAGTATTTGTGATATTTTTATTGCATGATTATTGGTAATCATATTTATTTTGATACAAATTCTTATATAATGTTTCAGTTTCAAATATCCTAGTGGCTACACATATTCCAAATAAAAATAACTGTGCTCACTTCAGCAGCACGTATACTAAAGTTAAAATGATGCAGAGAAGATTCGAATGGCACCTGTGCAAGGATGACTCACAAATTCGTGAAGCGTTCCATAGTTTTGCTCCTGTGGTTAATATCAGGCTAATAGTTACTACAGTTTGTCAGTAACCAGGTTGTGCTTGAGCCTGTTGTTACTGCTAACTGTACTACTTTAATAGGATGTTACCTGTTATATTTAGTTTTTCTCCTCCATATGACAACATTTGGATTATAAGGGTTCATAATCGTCACCATAATCCAGTACCAAAGGAATAGACCCTGAGTCAAGTAGAAGGAAACTTCACATGCTTACTATACTGGGAAGGTAAGTTCTTGGGATAGACATATATACCAAGAACCACTTATATATCCTGAAGACATTTCCTAGGAAAGCCTCAGTCCCAGAGAGGAAGCTATCTAACATAAGAAATCTACATACATCAACACAGAAAACAAAGTAACATTAAAAAATAGAAAATAGAAATGATAAGACAAAAAAGCAAAATGTAACCGCAAATGCAAAGCCCATTCAGGACAAGTGCAGAGTACAAAGAGATAGAGAAAATCAGAAGCCAACCACCCAAACAGAAGTGAAAAAACAAATAGAAGAGGCTATAGGAAAAAATACCCTCCACCATGGACTGTGCCAGCACGTTGGCCAAGCTGTGGGCCCGTCTAGCGCGCAGGGACAGGCTGGAGACGGGGGGAGATTGAGGTGGCATCTCTGGAGCCTGTGGCTTCAGAGCAGCCAGTGGAGCTGCCTTCCTCCCCGAAACTGCACCAAGCAGCCAGCAGAAGCTGCAGGGCGCTGGTGCTATGCGAGGCCCAGTTGGCGACCAGGCCCTATCCAGCGACAGAGCTGCTGTAGCTGCTGGAAGGATGACAAATGTAAAAGCAACCCCCAAAATCATTGACACCAAAGGGGGCTTTATTTTGGAACTGGAAGAAGAAGAACATAAAGTTGGAAACAGTGTTCATCAACCAGGACCAGTTATGGGATTTAATTACACAATATGTGAAAAATGTGAGAATTTATGGATTCCTATCTTCTGAATCACTTTGGTTTGACAAGTTGTGGTAACTGCAGAGATCCTGATGAGAAACATAAGCTTATTATCAAAACAGAAGCAAGATAAGAATACCTTTTTAAAAATTGTGATTTAGAAAAAAAGAGCACCAGCTCTTAAATTTATAGTGAAGAAGAATCCTCATCATTCACAGTGGGGAGATATGAAACTCTAGTCAGGAAGGACTAGAAGAAGCAAAGGAAGTGAGACAAGAAAACCGAGGAAAAATGAAGCAGAAGAAGTTTGATTAAAGAGAAAGAATTGCAATGAGAAGTAAGCAACAGTGTGTGGAAAAGAGAAACAGTTGCTCATCAACACATGTATGGACCAGAAGAAAACTTAGAAGATGACATGTTCCTCAAGACTTGTACTGTGTGTGGCCATGAGCTGACATATGAAAAAATGTGATTTTTATTTCAGCCAATTTCGAAACAGATTTTTATATTTAAATAAAGGAAATTTAGATTAAAGAAGGAAAAACATTCTCAAAGATACAGAAAAGAAATAACAATGACAATGAAAGACATAAAAACAGACACATGAAAAATAGAGCTTGGGAAAACAATGGAAATGCAATCATTGAAACAGGTCAAAAACAGAAATACAGGGGATTAAAAACTCCATTGAAAGTATAAGCCACAGGTTGAAAGAAGGTAAGAATAGAATGTCTGATCTAGAAGACAAGCTTGCAGTAAGTGACCATAAAAAGAAACAGCAAGAGATCACACACAAAAAATAATCTAACCGTTAAAATATGAAACAAAGAAAAGCACCGTTAACTAGAGTCAGTGAGAAAGCCAAAGTCAGTGCAAAAGCCATTCAGAATCTCTTCACAGAAATAATGGCAGAAAACTTACCAAACACGGATAAAGAATTTGACATACAAATAAATAAAGCATATAGAACTCTAAATAGCTATCATCAAAATAAGTTGATACCAATGCATGTAATAATAAAGAGTCCAGAAATTCAGCACAAGAACAAAATATTAAAAGCATCTAGAAAAAAGAAACATCACCTATAAGGGAAAGCCCATTAGAATTAACAGCAGACTTCTCAACACAAACCCTCAAATCAAGGAGAGCTTGGAGTGAGGTAATTTAAGCTATAACAAAACACAATCTTCAATATGGACTGATGTACCCTGCCTGGAAAGCTATTTTTCAAACTTGGTGGAGAAATAAGACAAGAACAACTGAAGATTCATGGCCACCAGGCCAGCTGTACAGAATTCTCTGAAGGGTGTTATTAGAAAGATTCAAAAACCACAAATACAAGAGCACCAATAGAAAAAAGATGCCACGCAGGGCAAGTAATTTAGCATAGGCGAAAGATAGGGAACCAGAAACAGGAATATAATATGAAAAAGATAAGCCAGTACCTTAACAGTTATAACCCTCAATGCAAATAGTTTGAACTCATTAATCAAAAGAAACCTCCTGGCAGAATGGATCAAGAAACAAGATGTAGCAGTATCTCATATTCAAGAAACACAATTAACCCATAACAAAATTCATAGACTAAAAGTCAAAGGATGAAAACAATTCTCCACACCTCAGAAACCCAGAAAAAACAAGGATAGTTATCCTATTTTTAACTTTAGCCAAAACTGATCAAAAGAGACAAAGAAGGTCACTATATGCTTGTTAAGGGAAAACTCTAAGAAAAAGTGTGTGTGTGTGTGTGTGTGTGTGTGTGTGCGCACACACACACCAAACACTGGTATGTATACCCCATTACATAAAACAAATATTAATAGACCTGGAAAACCAAATACACACTAACACAGTTACACTAGAGAACATTAATACCCCACTTTCACAGATAGATGAACTAGACAAAAAATTAGCAAAGATATATCAGAATTAAACAAAGTGTGTAAACATACGGACTTGGTAGATGTTTACAGTGTCCCACTCAAAAACTTCTCATATGGAACATTCTCCAAAATAAACCATGCATGTAATAATAAAGAGTCCAGAAATTCAGCACAAAAACCAAAATATTAAAAGCATCTAGAAAAAAGAAACAAATCACCTATAAGGGAAAGCCCATTAGAATTAACAGCAGAGTTCTCAACACAAACCCTCAAATCAAGGAGATGGTTTCTTTTGCAAATCATGGTTTCTTTTGATTAATGAGTTAAAACCATTTGCTTATTAACTCACAAAACATGCTTATGTAAATGTAGAGGAACTGAAATCATCCCATGCATACTATCTGACCATAGCACAATGAAAGTGGAAATCAACAACAACAAAAAGAAATCACAAAAATTATACAAACACATGGAAATCGAACAGTACCCTTCTAAGCAACCGATGAGTCACAGAGGAAATTAAATATGAAATTAAACTATATATAATTAAATGATAATGCCCATAATACCAGAACTTATGGGATACAGTCAAAGCAGTCCTGTGAAGGAAATTTATAACAATGAACTATCACATCAGGAAAATAAAAAGCTCAAATAAACAATGTAGTATTGTACCTCAAACTTCTAGAAAAAAGAACAAATCAACTTCAAAGCACAAATGAGGAAATTATAAAGATGAGCAGAAATTAATGCAACTGAGACTACGAAAACTGTACAAAGAATGTATCAAGAAATTGGTTACTTGAAAGAATAGAATTGAAAAAAGCCACTAGCAAACTTCACCAAAGAGAGGAAAGAAAAAACATAAATTTAAGTAATTAGGAATGCAAAGGGGGAAATCACAACAGATCCTACAGAAATTCAGAATATCACCAATACCTACTACTAGAACTTATATTGTAATAAGATGGGAAACACAGAAGAAATGGACAGATTCCTAGACACAATCCAACAGTCAAAACTAAAGCAAGAAGATATAAAAATTCTAAATAACTCTATACCAGCCAGTGAAATTGAAAGTATAATTTAAAATTTACCAACAAAGAAAAGTCCAGGCCCTAGTAGATTCACTGCTGAATTGTACAAGAAATTTAGAAAAGAACTGATGCCAGTAATGCTGAAACTCTTTAAGAAAATCAAAAGAATAGGTATACTTCCAGAATCATTTCCTGGAACCAAGTATTACCCCAATTAAAAAGCCAGAGAAGAACCCAATCAAAATAGAAAACTACAGGGTAATCTCCTTTATGAACATAGATCCAAAAATCCTAAATAAGATAATGGCAAACATAATGCAGCAAACCAATATGAAGATCGGGCACTGTGACCAAGTAGGATTCATCCCAGAGATGCAGGAATGATTTGACATACACAAATCAATAAATGTAACACACCATATTAACAGAACCAAAGATAAAAATCACATGATCATCTCAATAGATGCAGAAAAAGCATTTGACAAAGACTAAAACCATTCATAGTAAAAAACCCTACAAAAAATTGACATAGATGGTCTTTACCTCAATCCAATAAAAGTCATTTATGACAAAGCAACAGCTAATATACTAACCAATCAATAACTGAAAACTTTAAAATCAGGAACAAGACACATTCTGTCACCACTCTTATTCAATATCATTCTAGAAACATTAGCCAGAGTAATTAGAGAAGAGAAAGAAATAAAAGGAATAAGGATAGGAAAGAAAGAATTGAGTGTCTCCTGAAATCCACGCCATGTTGGAACTTAGGACTCTGGGAAGCCAAGCAAGCACCTCCCCTCCCTGGTAAGTGGAGGCAGGGTGGCAGACTGCAGCCCTTCCAGGGGGAGAACTAGCAGTATCTCCGGAAATCCATGCCATGTTGGAACCGAGGATGCTGTGAAAGCAAATGACCATCCTGCCTCCCTGCTTAGCAATAGTGAACCTACTGCTACATGGCCTAGAGTCAAATATCCCACTTCCCCTATCCTCCTTCTCCTTCCCACCCCCCACCCATTAGCAAATGGAAACCAGAAACCTGAGTATCTCCTGGGAGGTTGACCATAGCAAATAAGGGGGACTTCCTTCTACCATTTCTTTGAAGGCAAATATTTTTATTACTGTTTTGCTCTTTTCTGATTAATGTTACTGCTCTAT